ATATAAATAAAATATATATACAAATATATATACTCGAGCACACAAGTATAAACTCGTGTAAGCAAACGTATGAACGGGTCTCATAAAAGAGACTTTCAATGAAAAAAAATGATTTTTTCTTAGAAATTAAACATGCAAGTGTATGGTCCATTTAGATTTCTGATCAGGGATGCAAGAATTATAATATAACATGTCATATCTGATTCAAGCAAATTAACTAAAACAATTTTTTTATATAAATCATGTGGAGTCCTTTTCAAAACATTCGATCACCTATATAAACCTGATACTACTGTAGATTTTAAGAAAAAAATTTTTTTTAATATGTCTTAAATTAAGCTAGGTTTGTACCATTGTTTATACTTTAAAAAGGGATTTAAAAATATAAAGAGTTGAAAAAAATGTCATGTTGAGATATTTTAAATTCGCAAGCGGATGCTGTTTTATAATCGTTTGTATCCGATTGTACCACAATCGGTTTCATTTATATCCTTAAAGAAGTAAGTATACTGAAGTTTAAAAAAATGGGATGAGAATTAACTTTGTCATTTTTGAAAATATTTTAATTTCGATAAAATCACTCTTGTGGATTTAAAATATTTCAAAGTGGGGTGTTAGCATTTTTTTTCAACTCTTTATATTTTTGAACTCCTTAAAATACTAACGAAAAGGAAAGTGATACAAATGAATATGAATCTAGTTTAATTTAATAGGTATTAAAAAAATCTTTTTCTTAAAGTCGAGTGGCAAATTCACGTAAATCATTTGACCGATTTCGCGATCTCTCTGTAATTGTTTTTCTAATTAAATTTAATTAGAGTATATATACTTATTCTAAAATATCGAAATAGTATCAAAGTAATAGTACGAATCTAGTGCTGTATAAGAAATGAAGAAGATATTCGGAAGAATTTTTCTCTCCAATTCAATGAATAGTATTGTAACTGTATTTGCAATGTAATAACATTGAGCATCTTTATTTACAATTTTTCTAAAGATATTTGCAACAAATGTTATAACATCAATGCATATAATTTTGTATCTATTCAGTGTTTTATATTTATTCGACATTTTTGTATTGTTTAAAAATATATAATTTATCAACAAGAAGAACATTATTGTGCAAATAATTCTCCTGAAAACTGACATTTGGATACTACAATTGTAATACTTTTCATTGCTCTTTTACATTTTTTATTTATCTTAAATAATAGGTATCTTTAAAGTCTATTCCTATCCCTTTTTATATTTCGGTACAATTTAAAATTAATAAAAAAACCGCGAAATACATGTTTGATCATTTTGAAGAGTTACTTGAAGAGTTACTGAAGAGTTACTATAATGCAGCTCTTCGAAATGATCAAAACACATAAATCACGGCTTTTCATAAATTTTAAATTTTTCCAAAATGTAGGAGTAAATTTTATATTAATAATTGTTTATTGTATATATATTATTGTATATATTATTGTATATATTAGTATATATTATTGTATATATTATTGTATATATTAGTAATAATTTTACATTTTTCGAAGAATGACAGATGTGTAAAATAAGAAGAAGTAATGAAAAATTATTCAATTACGTAAATTAAATACAATACATTATAGTCAACATTCGATTGATGATTTTCCACTATCGCAGAGATACAATTTGACTTTCACCTTGCGTACTTAACAAATATGTACGTATAAATATTTGTAAAAAATATATATGTATAT